CACACACACACACACTATCACATCAAAGACGTTTATTAGCACACAACAGGCGAAACTGCCCCCAACCTCTCTTTTCTTCTCAAGAACATCTGCTTGGTGTTGTGGTTGTGTTGGGGGTGGTGCTGCTTGGCGAGAAACTGTGAAACTGTGAATGTTCTGTTGTCTAAACACCTTATGAACTCTATTTCCCATTAAATTAGCAAAGCACCCCAATTAAACTGTCTCATTCTTACATTTTGGAAAGTACTCCCAGAAGCCGAAGAGCCGTCTGCTGTTTAGGCAATTGCTAACTCGTCTTTTCCTATTGTTTTACCAGAGTGATGTTAACTGGCTAGAATACATCAAATTATTTGTGAAAATGTCAAAGACCAGCCCGTGATTTCCTCCCATCTTTTGTGTACAAAGTGTTGATGTGAGTACTGGTGTAAAATAAGGATGAAGTAAGACAGAAACTTTTCTAAGGCTTGCGTGAGATTACCAGCTGCTTATGTGCTCTTGGTTGAGCAATGTTGGACACTGTTTGGTGATGTGAAAGTATCAGTCAGAAAGTCCACTTCTCAGACACAACCACAAAAACAGGAAGAGCTGAGAGTGAAGTTGGACATCTGACTGTCCCTCTGTTCTACATTTAGCTCTTACGCCTATGTCAGGCTTCAGCAGGTCTGACTTAATTAATAAGCGACGTATTTTGTACAGTGCCTCTCCCACATTTTGTCAAGAGAGCTATTAAAAGACAGCCAGAAGAAATTTGTTACAAGCCATGTTGGGGATAGACGCGTAGAAGAAGAAGCTCACATTAGATGAGGCCACATCTATCACATAAAATCCCAATGAAAGACATTGACCTTTTTGATTCTTAACAATAACAAAAGGTAAAAATGCTTTATAAGACAGTGTCTTAGTTTGGTAAGGGTGCTAATGGTTCAAAAGAACACAGTCATGAGCACTGAGCTCTGATGAAGTTCTAGCTTTGTCTTTAAGCTTAAAGCAAAAGTGGATGCCTCTTTAAAGTCATCCGGCATCTGACAGCAAGATGGTGTCCTCTTTTACCCATCAGCCTATTCAAATATTAACAATCACCACAGTGGGAAGACTTCATCAACTGGACTGCCCCAAGAGTCACTCCCATGACCTGACCATAAAAGGGCACCACGTCTTTGTAACCCCAGCTGTGGCACCGTAATAAACTATGGTGAAGCATTGCACAGTAACATTTGGTCTTCAGCTCCTCTACCATGTCCCCATCCCCCGGCTGGGCTACCACAAGCGTTGGTCTGGGCAGAAGACCTCTAGACAATAGACTCTCTGTTCCCCCAAACACATACTAACACAGATAAAGTGACAATTCAGGCATGGCTCATTTAATGTTGCCCTTTTGTCCAGGCTTCGACCCCAAAGTAGGTGTCCCTCACGGACAATTTCATGTTCATGAAAGTATTCAAACCCTTTGAAATGTTATAACCACAAAGTTCAGTCTATTTTG